TCCGTTGATCCACTACTAACTTTACACCCTGTAATATTTTAATTTTCCGAACATAGTTGCTAAAACTCGTAAATCGTTTAAATGTGCTGGAAATGCTGTACCCCACACTAATATGTCATACACTAGGTGCGGCTCAATTAAGTGTTTATCTTGGTCAATTTTTTTATTTTGGGAGAAGTACATGTTTGACATACGTTAATTTATGATTTTCGTTCATTTTTTTATTCCCCGTCCTGAAAGAGGACTTCACGTTTATGTCCTGACGGAGAAAATAAACATTTCCGAAAGCTTGACTTGAACAAAGAATCACGATCCTTCTGTCCTGACTTCGTTCCCAAGAGTCCCCAAGAGTCTATAATTTTCAGAAGCCTCTAAGCAGTTAATCAAGGGATGGAAGGTCTAAACAGTTTGTATTCCTTTCACCAGCAGGTAATAATAATAGAGTTCTTTGAGTAGCAACGTAATCTCCGCTTAACTGCGCGCATCTGGCTCTAACGCGAATCCATCTCAGTCACCTTCGGTCTCGGTATCCACACATCACCACAACGGGAAAAATGTTCGCTAAAAACGCGCTGGAAACAAATTGCGCGCATCTCCTCGGATGGTGGCTGCGAAACGAGGTCGTTTCTTATTAGGCGCTGACGATAAATCAGCTCAGAAGTCGCGGTTAATTTCGGAACACCTCGTATACCAGCCATCGGACACACACGACCAGCGGCGGAGCAGAACTTGATGAGGTCGGCTAGCCACAGACGGCCAACCATGGAGAGCTGTTTCGTGCTATTTGGCAACTCATCATCACGGTCTAGGCTAGAAACGCTGAAAACTCTATTAAACCGCCAGAACCCTCGGCATCTAGCGGCCACAGTGATGACTCAGCTGTCAAATACGAACTGGAATACACTTCCAACAGTCAACTTACTGTTTTCATTGTCACTGTGGTCGATTCTGGTATCAGATGGCACGTTGTGCTAGCTTATTTCGATACCCAGCATACTTTTCCCGTTGCCCTTTTCAATACTAATAATAAAAAGCCTTAACGTTTGCCAAGCGAACAATCAGCAATTGCTGTTCTTCCACGCCAATCTGTGCTGCATGTATACAATTTTCAAAAAATTACAGTTTTCAACACAGAATTACAAAAAAAAAGAAAGAGTGCTTAGCATAAAGTGAAATAAAATGCAGTGAAATTAGTGTAAACGCTTTAAAAAAATGATAAATACATACATAGACAAAACATAAAGCTCACAAATGAAACACTTACATAGTCACAGTCATAGAATCGAATATAATTAAAAGAAATCAGTGGCTAGCATCACATTATTTATTCCAGGTTAAAAAGCACTGAGAGACTCGGTTTTAAGAGTTGCTGTTGTACACATTAGATGCTAGATATGCAAAGGAGCTTTTAAAAGCTGTTGTTTTGTGCTTGGGAATATCCAAAGTGTGAACATTAAATCTAAAATTAATATTATGGATGTCAGTTCTCAAAGATAGTTTTTCATGCAAGTAAACTGGTTGTTCCCTTAGTAAGACCGAATCAACCAAACAGATCTGGTGATAAGTCCATCTTTGTCTCGTCGTAAGCCAACGAGTACTTTTAATATAAGAAAATGTTCTTTCAAATCTACTTATACCGTGAATATACAGGGTGCGACAGAGAGGACGGACGTTTTTGGGATGGGTAGTACTCTCCGCCTCCGTCTACGAAAGAGGTGGGGAGGGTGCCGTTTGACTCGTGAGATCCTAGCATTATTTTACCAGTTATCGTTATGTAGCCTTGGACGGTGGAGCACCGCGTTTTCGCCTATGATTGTTTCGTCCGAAATAATGAGTCAGTCATCTTCGTACAGCGTGAGTTTCGTCGCCACTTCAACATTCATCGGAATAGAACTGTTCCCTCTCGAAACACCATCCTTCGTTGGGTTGAATCACTTCACAGGCGTAGTGAACTGATCAACAGAAGACCAAGAGGAGCGCCGCGAACAGTTCGAACTCCTGAAAACGAAGCCCGCTTTCACCTAAACAGCATGGTTAACCAGCAGAATTGTCGTTATTGGGCTAATGAAAATCCGCAACAGGTACACGAAAGGCCGCTGCATAGCCCAAAAGTAACGGTTTGGGGCGCTGTATCGCAAACTTGCATCATTAGCCCTTACTTCTTCGAAGACGGTAATGGTCGTGATGTTATCGTGAACTCAGAGCGCTACGTCGACATGATCACCAACTTCCTTCTCCCTGAATTACGACGGCGACGTGTTCCAATCCGACGTGTGTGGTTCCAGCAGGATGGGGTGACCGCCCACACAGCCCGAGCATCCATGAACGTTATTCGCCCTCTCTCCCCTGGGCGCCTTATTTCCAGGTTTGGCCTCCTCGGTCCCCAGATTTATCCATATGCGATTTTTTCTTATGTGGACACTTCAAGGCTAGAGTATACGCGAACAAGCCCCGAACTCTGGACGAATTGAAGGGCGAAATTCGCGTGGAAGTCGCCCAAGCTGAGAGAGCGATGTTGAAGAGAGTCTACGTGAACTTCCAAGAACGCATCCAGCACTGCATCAACGATTTCGGCCACCACATGCCTGATGTGATTTTCTACACTTGACTGTCTCAAATGCTATTTCCTTGTGAACCTGATTCCATCAATAAATTTGTTTTCGAGTAAAAATTAACTATTTTATGATTTTTTAAAACCGTCCATCCCTCTTTGCCGCACCCTGTGCATTATGCAACAGTTTTGCACCTTTTATATTCGTTGATCTTCCATTTCTTCCAGAGTCAGCATATTTAACGATGCATGGTTTTATGAGAGAAAATTACCTATTCCTTATTTTATCTTACAAAATGAAGATCTCTGATCAAAGAAATTCTTATGATCAAATCGATATCACTTCAATTCAAAGTAATTATTGGTATTTTTGTGTGCGAACTGAACACTTTCAAAGGTGCAGTGAACTGCTTCTAGTTTTATCTAAATATATCCAAATAATGATTATGGAACGATCATCATAAAAAATTTAATGCGACCGTACAAGATGATAGTAAACTAATGAGCTTCTTAAAGGTATCATCAGATAATATAATAATCTACATTTTTGTAAATAATTGAGTACTGCTACGGATCTCGATATTAACGGAAAGGCAAAAAGTAAAGTTACGTTTCTCTTAGAGAAAAACCATGTAGGTATAGAAACTAATTAATTTGTCAATCATGTTCTAACACTTATAATGTGCAAAAATACAGATTGGAAAAGATTAACAAGATAGATAAGACTGTATAGTGTGATATTTATCAGATCGCATTTCATTTTTCTTTTATAATTACTCCTAGTTTTATGGAAAGTAACATGCGCTGGATTGATTACACATAGCTCTTAACGCGCTATATTATGCAACCATGTGGCAACTGCAGGAAAAGCACAATACCAAAAACTTCTGTTAAGAGCACTTTATATTCTATGACAGTTGACGGTTCCGTGTATATCCCAATAACCGATTTGATGGAAGTTAGTCCAGTGATAATAAATTGCAGATTAAGTGAACTTGAAACCAATTTTCAATATCTGGAAAGCATTCTCACGAATCTATGATTTATACTTGAGATAAAGAGAATTTATTAAGGAGTAGCTCAAATGGCTATAAATCTAGCAGATCATGCCCGGGGTTCAAAGAGTAATGGAAATATTAGCCTAACCTAGGAATTTGTCTTATTGACAGACTAACAGTTTTAAATTATGGAAGGGCAATTAGTTCTAGTTGGAGAAGGAAAATCACGAAAATCGTGTCTGGGTTTTTATAATGCTTGAAATAGGGATAATGAGCTGCACTGTCAGATTTTTCAGATTCCACTTACGATTTATTTATTTCGCGAAGTTTATTCATAGAAATAATAGTATGTTGAATCAATTAAATAAGTTACAGGGCATCATTCAATAAAATTATGTTTTGGCAGAATATCAATATAGAACATTGCTCCCAAAAAGCATATTTTGAGTGTTTTTATTTTAGAAGTAGCCAGGCTGTACTCTCAAAGTTCAAATATAAGATTTTGCTCCAAAGTTGTGACATATCAAGTTACGAGGCTCAAGGAGTAATGGAAATATTAACCTAGCCTTGGGATTTGTCTTGATCGTATTGACTGGCTGTCAGTTTTAGATTACGGACAGGCAATTAGCTCTAGATGAATAGGGATTGTGTCCGGGCTTTTAAAGGCTTGAAATAGGAATAAGGAGCTGAAATGCCGGATTTTTTATAATTCAGTTTAGATTTATTTTTTTCCTGTAGTACTCACAAAACATAGTAGGATGTATTGGCCATGTATTATTTCTTCTATCATAAACGCAATTTTTCTTGATAGGATCTAAAAAACTTCAATATAACTATACTCCACCAGTGTGCAACAGTGAATCGCATTGCCATTGAACAAAATTATTTCTATAGATCACACTTTGTATAGTGTTTAGCTACTATGCTTTCGTTCGTTGTCCAAGAGATCCAACCCTAGACCTTGCTGAGGAGTAGCCAAAAAGCACGAAACAGCTATCCATGGTTGGCGGTCTTGAATCGGACGGACGAAAGCAGAGCATATTTATTTTAAAAATACTTCATTATAGATAAAACTTAAAAACTTTTATCTGATGAGCTTCGTAGTATACTGATGCGCGTCTCAGAATAAGTAGCAATATCTTCATTTCAATACAAAAATAATATTTCATTAAGTTCTGCTAAAAAATATTGAATAAGGTCTGCTACCAAAATCCAGACACTTCTAGGAAATGGTTGTTCTTAAATCTTAAACAACGTGTAGAGTCTATAGAGTACTATAACAGGCTTATAGTTTATCGATGATGACTCACTACCGTCTGCAAACCAGATAAATCTATTGAAGAGATCCGCTGATAGTAGATCGGTTAGGAAGTTTTTTTTTTGTTTCAGCGCTTATTCATATGGATATTATAAAAGAAAAAATTAATCCTAAAATGTATTTTTTATTTCAGGAGGTCTAAGCACCACGGCAATAGTGAAAATCCAAGTAACTGACGTGAACGACAATCGCCCCACCTTCTACCCTACCGAGTATAACGTCTCTCTCAGAGAAGGCGGAGCCTCATCCTCCGCGACCGCCCCTGTTGTGGTTGTGGCTGCAACAGATCCGGACTCAGGACGTTTCGGTACCGTCACCTATAAAATAGTAGCTGGAAACGACGCTGGTCTCTTCCGTATTGACAAAAACACTGGAGAGATCTTCGTGAGCAGACCGAGTTTGTTGTCTTCCAGGAGTCAGCCTTACCATCGATTGAATATCAGTGCTACAGATGGAGGAAACTTGAGGTCGACCAAGGACGCTCAGGTGTTCATCAGCGTAATAGATTCTGCGCAAAGGCCACCTATTTTCGAACACCCCCGGTATACGTTCTCTGTTAGCGAGAATGTTAGAAAGGATACTGTAGTGGGGAGTGTTAAAGCAGCCATATTGGAAAATGGTAAGTGTGAACAGGAATCATATTGTTATAATTGCACTTATTCCTGATAACCGAAACTACATCTATTTGAAAAAAAACATTACCACCATTATGGGTTTTGCCTGCCTCATCGACGTACAAAGGAAACTGACTGCAGTTTTAAATACTGACATGTTTACATTGGAATCTGCTAAATTCATTATGCATTAGTCAGGCTACTTGATCGCTTAATTTTCCCAGACTAAGTCACTTCTGTGAAGTTGTACACTCTATTTTTATTCTCAAACTTACGTTTTCACTTGCGCGTTTTTTTGCATACAACTTTCCTATCTGCGATACGCTACTATTCAATAATATAAAGATTAGTTTCGCAGCAGTCAGTTACTGCTTATAGAATATATAAAATATTTGCTATCGCCTTTATATATATGCAGGTTTCTAATTTGCGATACAAATTTCATTCTGCGGTAAAATTTCTCTATTTAGTTACGCGCATGAGAGGTTTTTTCAATATCGTGGATCTCTGTACAGGATATACAAGCATGGGTCGATTCTAACAATCATACTCATGTTTGAATAGGAGATAAATTTATTTTTTAGGAGTCCGTTGAAAATCCGTTGTAGTCAATATCGTTGTTTCTATGCGAGGGGTCTAGATGCAAAGCTCGCTCCTCCAAGTTTAGACAAAGCTTAACAAATAACAGTTCCTTGCTCTGAATTCTGTTACAGACATGTAGACATACAACTTTGAAAAAAATAAAAAAAACATGTTCCGAACCAAAATAAATGATGAAAAATCAGTCTGAAAAACTTATTCTTCCTGCTATACGTTGTAGTGCATCATAGCATAAGCCATAAATATTTATCGATGAGTGCTTTCTACCAAGAATTCTTCAAACTCTGAAAAAAAACTCGCATCCTATAAAATATGTTCTTGACTTACACCTTTTTTCAACGTCCATTTTACTGCGATCAAGATCATTTCTCGATATATTGCACCAAGCAGGTTTAATTAGACATCTAAGATCGTCGATAATAAAACCTGTAAAATTAAAGAATCTGTTATGCTTACAAGCCAATTCTCAAGTGTGATTCCCCGTAATACGTAATGAAAAATATGATAAACATGGTTATTTTGCTTATTTACTGCAAAATCCACGTTAGTGTCTTGACAATTTTTCGGGATTTTTCCATGCCTAGCATTAACAAGCTATTAAGATTTGATTCAGAGTTTCGGTCCTTCGGTACTTAGATACTACCTACATTAAGTCCAAAAAAGTACTTAAATACTGGTTTATTTGTCCGTGGCACAGTTTTCATTGTCTGCTGAAAGATTCAAATTATGGCTTTTGCACTGACGAATTCTTTTAGTGAGTTGACCTAACGCTAGTTTTCAATGTTACCGACTCCAGCCTTCTGCACCCTATCAAACGACTTTGAAATGAGCGTAATTCAAGTCCCACTGGTGACAATATCCAGTTCATTATCATTTGGAGTCCGTTCGCCTTGCAAAGTCTCGATGCAGTAAACTATTTGACCTTATTGAGGACCGTGTCCACTAATGACCACATTCATCTACCGAGACAGTAAGCAACATTGTACACCTGCATATGCATTTTAAACATGCGCGTATTTCGATGGGACAGCCCTTGTAAATAGAGGCAAAATCTACACAGGCATGGAGGGATTTATTGTAGAAGAGAGTACAAAGACAAGGCCGATGCATTGTGGGTAAGGAGCAAGCCAGCTACACGATAGACTTTCTATATTAATTAGCGCAAAATCAATGGGAACAATGAGCAGTATTTGATGGCGCAAGATCCTGAATTATGATGATGGTATGGTAACCAATTTCCAGATACTATTTTTCATTCCCGAGAAAGTATAATCGCGAAAATGAGATATTATGTTTTTTGAATGTTATATGACATTTACATCACAAGATAACTACTATGACATCTATTAAAAAGCTTTTTCGTTTTTGAAAATCGGCCTAGTGGCGGCGACGTACCAGGTAAAAAACGACAAAAATTCAAACCTCGTGTTTTGAAGTTTCAGAGGCTCCTGATAATTTTCGGAAAAATAATTCTAGGGGTCAAAAAAGTGGGGCTGGAGGTTGTAGTGAGTGGGGAAGCGTATATCTCATTTTGTCTTTCGATAATATATTAATTTACAGTAGGTACATATTTCACACATTTCCCGGTACATTTGCCCTTAAAACTTATAGAAATATTTACAGACGCGGCGCGCGGTCGGTCGGGATGATGGCAACGTTCAGACTCTGTGTGCATTTGACTGCATTGCCGGTGTTCTCGATCTTCAGTTATAGTATCGTGCCTGGATATTAAGGCATGGTTGACTGGTATGGTTTAGCACCGTTGCCAGATGGTCGATACTTACGGCTCAAAGAAACTAGCTTTAGTGTAATCAAATGGGTGGGGACTATCGAGTATGGTCCAATTGTATAGACCTGTTTGTCTGACTTGATCCATTTTTTTTTGTTATACATACTTACATGCTTGTTGATTTTTGGAATGACAGAACGATATCGCCTGTCACAAGAGATGGGTATAGGCAAATTATCAGTTACCAGTTTCAAATTATCGTGGCTCAACAGGCGACGTTCCTCAAAGTTCGGTTACTAGACACTTTTTCATTCCTTATTTTCTACATTCACCTCGAAATCTGTGACGAGATTCCACATGATGGAGGGCAATTAGCACGAGTTTGACTCATCTGCTCGGAAGTTGCTTTCAGCGATGGATGTTCTGTTGCCCATATTACGCGCCAGATCGGTTCAAGATCAACCAGGGTACACCGCTTACCTGGTGCCTTGTTGATTCAGTCATTAGTTTTCAGTAGGTGGCTTGTGTGATAGTATAGCATTGCTACTACGTGGTGGGCAAAAAGAGTCAAAGGTGGCCTAGTTGCTAGGCTTTGCCTCTCCTCCACCACTACTACTACTATGGATCCCTCATACGGTGGAAGAGGTACTGGAGTGGCAAACTGTGTCTTATTACAATAATTGACCATTTCAAAGCATATTCTATATCATACTAGCCTAGCTTTGACTACACCAAATATGAGACGTGTGAAATTTGAAAAAGTATTCATATCGGTTTGTGTTAATATTCTTAGAACATACACCTCCATCATCATCCGTGCAAAAATTGGCCATGACCTATTCCCTTACCACTTAGGAAGTTCAGATCTATGCGAATACTGCTAAATAAGAGGTGACGCACTTTACAGGCATGTTATACGCTATGCTTCAACTACCCCTCTCAATATAGAGCATGTGCTATTTATTCAAAAACCAGACATCATGAACAAACTAAAAAAAAATCATTAAAAATTCTGGCATGCACATTTAGAAAATATTTTAAGCGAAGTATATATAATCTAATTCTGGCTAATCGGACGAGAGCCTAGGTTCAAAGTACCTGCAGGGCATCACAGCCGTCTACCTATGGTTTCATCTTTGGCGATTCTGTGCTTGTTCTAAACATTTACAACAAAAAAAACTCATGTAAAATTGAATTTTTAAGTTGATATACGCTACTTTTGCTTGAAGCGACGACATAGGCTCTCGTTTACTCAAAAACGACTTTATAAACAAGCTACATAGCACAGATAAACAAACCTCTAAATAGAGTTCCTTGTAAAACCTTCCAGCTTATCTTAAAGCAGTTCAGAAAAACAAAATTTGCATCCGTTCTTGCGACCTGCCGACTTGCCGGTGCACAAAGGCCTCCTTTTCTTCACCGCTCACTTCTCACCGTATCCTATTCAACTTAGCCCCTTTTGTTTTCGGTATTCTCAGACGACTACTCGGCGATTTATTTTATTTCTGGAACATTGTGCGCCCGTCGACAGTTGATTTAAATAAGGGCCGTAGCTCGCTCTTGGCCTCGGCCAGTGCGACCGTTTGGGCTAATTAAAACAAGTGAAAATCGACACCGGTAATCGTATACCGGGGAGGGTCAAAAACAGTTATGCCAATTAGTAGATTTTCTGTATTTTATACTGCGGGAAGAGGAATCAGCCATGATCGTAGCACCTGAGCCCAATCAGCAGGTATAGTAAGTAAAAAACCTATGTAATGTAAGAAAAAACCGACAAAATGTCACCTTGCTGACTAGATAGGTGCTAGTGTGCAAATAGTTCATTCCGCGTTTACACACTGTGTGCCACTCTTAGCGCCACCTATAGAGGAATGGCTCAGCGACCATGCTCCAAGTCAGCTCGCCAACATGCTTTGTTGGTTGCAGAATGCCAAGATAGTCTGTCGAGTATATCTCAGATGTGACAGAAAGAACGTTGGTTGAGTAGCAAGATCGCATCAGGATATGTATAAAATCAGAGATATTTGCTATGTGAGAAAATTATTACTGAATATGCTCTCCAAGTATATCTATTAGTTGTAGCAGACGGGTTGTTTGTGTTGTCCTTTCTGAAAGGAGGTAAAGTTCGAAGTTATAAATTACGATTTTCTCCAGGTTTTCTGGCGTATTCAAAAACTTGGAGAAGCATTTCGGGAAATCACCACCGCGATCGCGATGCGTGTAATTAGGCCAAATCATAGAAAAGTTAGGAACGACGCATTGCACACAAAACATTTTCGCAGTGCCTCACACCTAGGCGCTGATTTGTATTTTCTACTCGACGCAGCAAAATAAATTTCTATAAAATTCAAATGACTGGAAATCAAAAATAATGTAAAATATAACTGCCTTTTCACGTTTCATAAATATTCGGTAGTCTATTTTCTTACCTTGTCAGTTGTATACTCCACCAATCAGGGATTTGCCTTTTTGTCTCTCTCACTTTCGACATACAGCAAATTTGCATACGTAATTTGCAAGATTGAGCATACTTCTCAAGTAACTGTATTTCAGACAAAAAACTAGGGAAATTATCATTAACTCATATCATCACATCACAAATCCCCACTAAGCATCTATGCACTGTCATTTCGCCCGTTTCCAGATGTTACTTCACATCAGAGAAAAACCATGATA